GCTTATTCATAAGTTTTTCCCCTACGTTCGTCACGACGAAAATTTTATGCACTCTCGTATATTTATATTAACGCTCTATGACTCTTACCTATGGTTGTTAATGTCTAGAACCACGATAACCACACAAACACAAACATTCAAAATGGTATAAATTTATTGTTAGTGACGTAATATAGGAACAAAAAAAAATCTCGATTCGGTTTTATTTATTTATTTATTTATTTATTTACTCTATGCTTACTAATATTATTATTATTATTATTATGGTTATTTTTACGATTTGAAATTTGTCGGTGTGTGTGTGTGATCATTAAATGAATATTTAAATAAAATTTATCGATGGGTTATAATAATAATAATAATAATATTTTTTATTTAATAACGATCGAAAAATTATTTCCCGGACGTTTATATGACGGTTTTATGTCGTCGTTAATCGTGTCAATAAACTCTAAAGAAAAATTTAATTAATAAATAACGGATTAAACGAATTACAAGTGGTAGTAGTAGTGGAACGAAACAAACTAAAAAAAAAAAAAATTTTCTCTTTCGATCTCGCGTTAATGCCACGAAAAATTTCTCACCCCGCGGATTTTTTTTTTTTTTTTGGCGGTTAAGCGTCGTAATTTGTACCGGGAACACGATAATTACCGTTCGTAATAAGTGTAATGAAAAGATTGTAGATTTTCTCCCGTTCGGCCATATTTCAATTTTCCGACGTGTTCACCTTTTGACCTTTTTACGCGTTGCGCGAAATTCGCAAAATCGGTCTTTTCATTTCGTACTTTTCATCTCCTTCCACGTCGTCGTGGTCGTTTATGTTTTTGACGACATCATAATACTTTCGTTTGAATGATATTCCATAAAGAAAAAAAAAATTTTTTTAATTGACGCGTTCCCGTTCGTTCCTTTTTCCATTGTTGGCAATTCTTAATTTCACTCGATCGAAAATGGAGAAAGACAGAGAGAGAGAGAGAGAGAGAGAGAGAGAGAGAGAGAAGGAAATGACGTATTTTTTTTTTTTTTTAAATTTGTCCGTTACGTTCGAAATTCAATTTTTTTTTTTTTTTTTTTAATATTTCATCATCATCATCATTATCATTCGTTTTTTTTTTTTTTTTTATTTATTTTTAATAATGAAAATTTTCCACAGTCGAGTGAAAGTTTAAAGTGAAAGCTCTTCGTTCGTTAGTAAATACATAAAAATTTATCATGGGAATGAATGAGCGTTAATAATTTTTTTTTTTTTTAACCAAAATGGTTGCCGCCGAATGAACCGTGACTGACCGGTAATGATTTGAATTTCAAAATCGTTTCAAAATCATTGTTAAACCGTGATTTTCATTCTAGCGCCAATAATAATGATTAATAATAATAATAATAATAATTCTTTGGAAAAAGAAAAAAGAAAATTTACGGTTATTTTCAACGGTTTATCGTTTCGCACACGCCACTTCTCCCCCCTCCCTCCTCTTTGGGTGACATTTTTTTTTTTTTTTATTTATTTCCACGGTGGCATCGAAATTTGTTTTAAAAAAATTAGTATTATTATTATTATTATTATTATTATTATTATTATTATTATTATTATTATTATTATTATTATTTTATTGTTTTTTTTTATTTCGAGGAGGGGGGGGTGGGGAAATCAACGTAATTTGGTCACGGTTTTACTTTTTTTTTTTTTTTAATAAATTTTCTCTGACCTGATATAACAAATTAATGTGACTCTCGTTTCGATGCCCTCCTTCCTCTTCTCCCCTCCGCCTCCCTTCTCGCCACCACCTCTTCCCTCCACGCCTCCCCGCCCCCCGACAGGTATCGTACCAAGTTTCCCGTTTCGCAAAATTAAAACCGTAATAAACCAAAAAAAAAAAAAAATTAAAAAAATTTCTTTTATTTTTATTAAATTGCATCCGGTTGTTAAAAATAATTAAAAATTATTATTATCATTTTTTGTTTGTTTGTTTGTTTTGGAACAAATGTAACAAAATTAATTTATTTGTCAGGATTAAGAAGGTTTTTGTTTTGGTTTTTTTCCCGCCTCTTCCCATTCCAATTCCCTTTTCTTTTTTTTGGTTGTAATTAGCAAACGATTACGAATGTTTTCAATGGTTTTTAACGACAGACAGACAAACAAACAAACAAACAAACGTTTAAACTTTTGCAAACTCATTTTTAATTCAAAAAAACAAATGAGAACAATATTTTATATTCACAAATCGTTAGTGTGTCATCATTAAAAAGTCGGGACCGATACGATATTGATTTTAAATTTAAATTAAAATCACGTAATGGAGAAGGGGGGGGAAAGAAGAGACGCAAAAGTTTGTTTTTATCATTATTATCATCGTCATCGATGTCGTCGTCGTCACCGTCGTTGCTGTCGTCATTTCCGTCGTGGCTCAAACTGAGAAAAAAAAAATTGGTAGAAAATTTAAATTTAAAAAAAAAAACGCGGGTTGTTTTTTTAACGAAAAGATTTATTATTATTATTATTATTACATGCGTTTGTGTGTAAAAGAGAGAGAGAGAGAGAGGAAGGATGAAAAATAAATTCGGTAGTATAATTTCGATTTGATGTGAGAGAGAGAGAGAGAGAGGAGGGGAAATGACAATGGGAATAAATAAAAAGAAATTGCAAACAAGGAAGAAAAGTGATCGTTAGTGATAATGATAATAATAATGGTAGCAACGACTGTGACGGGGGCGGGGACGAGGGGGGACACAGAGCAAAAATACGAAATCACATTCGCCATTAGTATTGTAAAAAAAAAAAAAAAAAAATTACGTAAGGGTTTCAAGTCGCGAAAAAAAAAAAAAAAAAAAAAAACGCATTCGACGGACAAAAATTTCATGGATGAAATCCGCGGGTATTATTATTATCATCATCATCAATTTTTTTGTCCATTAGGTGAACGTTGCGTAAAAAAATAATAATAATAATAATTTTTTTAATATTTGCGACATCAAAAAAAATTTCATTTCATTATTAAATTAAAAGAGTAAAAAGTCAAATTTAAAAAAAAAAAATTACGACGAAATAACGAATTATAAAATAAATGCAAAATGTCATACTCCCCTCTCCCCTCCCCTCCCTCTCTCTTCTCTTCCCTTCTCTCCGTCCGCCATTTTCCTCCGCCATTTTTTTTTTTTTGAACTAACCATTTTCCCAACTCAAAAAAATTAATTAATATAATTAATTATTTAATTAATCGATAAAGGAAATTTTTTTTTTTTTTCAATCGTTTATGGAAACATTAAAAATAATGATGATGATGATGATAATGACGTAATTAAAGTAATAATAATAATAATTTTTTTATTATAAATAATCACTTTGGCTATGGAAAATATAATAGAGAGGAAAATTTATCGAAACGTTATCGAACGATGTATCGAAATACTTATTCGAGAGATCGTTTTGTACAATTCTCGTAAAATTCGTTTTTAATTTAATTTCTCCCTCCCCCCTTCTCCCCTCCCCATCCATCCCCTTTTCCCCGGTACTACTTTCTTATTTCTTTCTTTTTCTTTCTCTTTTTTTTTTTCGTAGCCGTGCAATTGTTACATTAATTTAATTTTAATAATGTTTCGCAAGGAAAAAAAAAAAAGTATAATTAGTTTCAGTCTGGCAACTTCCGTTTAAAATAGAAGAAAGAGAGAGAGAGAGAGAGAGAGAGTGAGAGAGAGAGAGAAAATGTTGTCCATACATACGTTTTGATTTTTGTTTTCTTTGTTCAGTTGGAAAAAAAAAAAAAAAAAGATGGATGCAAACGGGGGGGAGCATTGCGTGCATGAATTAAATGCAAATGAATTTTTATTCGCTTAATGGCGTTTGTTTGTTTGTTTGTTTGTTTGTTGTTGTTGTTGTTTTTTTTTTTTTTTTTGTTTTCGATCCTATTGCCCTTGGTTATGTCGTCGATTTAAAATATTGTTGTAGTTCAACATGCTTTTTTTTTTTTTAACTTTTTTTTTTTTAAATTTTTTTTTAACGCGACGTTTGTAGACGTGTGTGTGAGAGAGAGAGAGAAATTATTTAGCGTCTGCTATGATGGATTTAAAATTTGCGTTGACTTATAACTCTCGTTATTAATCATTACAATAACAATTAAAAAAAAGAAAGAGTTATGTTGGTACTACTGTGGAAAAAAATGAAAAACGGAAACGAGGTTCGTTACGTACGTTGTTTAATAAAAAAGGTTTTTTAACCTTGTTAATGACGTAACGAATCGATGATTTCTGCCATCGTTCGGGGGAGGGAGGGGGGGAGGCAGAAGCAGTTTGATGAGTTGAATTTACGTTGCAAATACCTGAAAAACAAAGGCATTGAAAAATGTTTTTTGAAACAAACATCTCCCGTTTTTGAATGAATCGTTTAAAATAAGTTTTTTTTATCGAAAGCAGGACTTTGTTGTTGTTGTTGTTGTTTGTTGTTTGTTGTTGTTGTTGTTTTTTATTAAATCTTTCATAGAATTTGAATAATTTTAATCGTATCGAACAATTGTTTCGCATAATTTCGTATTAAACGTTTACAAAAACATGATATTGATGAGATAAATCTCACATGGTATTATTATTATTATTATTATTATTATTATTATTATTATTATTATTATTATTATCATTATTATTATTATCATTATTATTATTATCATTATTATTTTCCATCCGAAGGCATATTAAAACCTCTCGAGCGTTTGTTAATCACTCAAAGATTTCGCTTTGGATTCATTTAAAAAAATTTTTTTTTTTTATTTCGTTTTTAATAATAGGGTTTCATTACAAAGTTAAAAAGGGGGGGGGGGCATTAACATAATTTTTTCATTTGTTGCTCATCAAATCGATTTTTAATGACGAAAAGAAAAACACAAAGTGGAAGGGATAGGAAAGGAAAGGACCACGAAATTTTGTGTGAAAAAAAAAAAAAAGTGGGGAGGGAAAAGGAGAGATTAAAAAAAAAAATTTCAATCAATAATAATAAATAGCGTAATTTCAAAATGGCGTCATTCATTTTTATTCACTTTAATTTTTCAAGTGTTAAAAATTTACTTAACGTTTTCTCCGGAAAACCTTTTTTTTTATACCTTTTCCTAAAACTTATTTTTGATATCGAAATTCTAAGATTAGAGTTCTTACCCTTTACCCCCCCCCCACCCCACAGAACCTTTTTCCCAAAACCGAGATTTTCCTTTTTAAATAATTACGAACGAACGAATGAATTTTGTGTTAAATTTTTTTTTTTTTTAGTTGCTTATTATTATTAATATTATGTTTATAACTTTTTTTTGCTTTTCCGTTGCGTTTTCCTTTTAAAAAAATTGATTTGGATATGATAATAAATTAAGGATTTGATATTTTCCAGGGATTTACGGTGCTCCACCATCGGTCGATGTTTCACCGGAAAGAATCATATTGTTAGAGAACAAACCATTGGAAGTCGTTTGTCGCGTTGGCGTACCCATAACTTATTGTAGATTTGCCGTACCTGGAGTATCAAGTGCATTAAATTTGAGACCGAGTATACCCGCCCACGAAGGTATAGAATATTTCGGAGCCGGTCTTGATAAGGTACGATAAATTATTATATTATCGACAACGAACAAACGATCCTTATTTATTTATTTATTTATTTATTCGACAGGGAGAATGTGGAATGTTAATAAGAAACGTAAATCCCAAACACAGTGGTATAATACAATGCACCATGGGATTTACAGACGAGCCAACGGAAAGCATAGGAAATTTAACTCTCATCGTTGCAAGTAAGTAGAAATTTTACACACACTCTCTCTCTCTCTCTCTCTCTCTCTCTCATTTTTTTTTTTTTTTTTTTTTTTTTTTTTTGCAGAGGCTCCCGATCCACCACTTTTATTCGTTTCTCCAAGTTCAACTTATGGCAATTCATATTTAGAAGGTGAAACAATACAAGCAACGTGTAAAATAAGCAACGCGAGACCGATAGCAAATATTTCTTGGTACTTGGGTAAGGTTGATTTTATTTAAAATAATAATAATAATAATAATAATAATTTACATACGTGAGTGTTTAACGCGACAATTTTTTAATTTAGGCACAGAACCAATTTACGATCGCCTTAGTCCAACGATAACGGAAGAAGAAAACGGTTTGATGAGCATAAGTCAAAATTTATCAAGGCAAATAACTTATGCCGATCACAATAAGGATCTCAAATGTGTTGCCGGACACATAGCATTAGGCCCCGGAACCATAAATCATTCAATATTTAAACTCAATATAAAATGTAAGTCTCCCCCAACATTGACGACATAATGATAATTTTTTATCAATCAATCAATCAATCAATCAATTAATTAATTAAACGTTATCAGTTCCGCCGAAACCGAAATCGCAAGAATTAGAAAAATTTGGATTCACAATCGGACAACCTGGAAAAATAATCGTGACTTTTCAAGCAAATCCCATACCTGATATCATATGGAAAGTCGATCAAGATAGTTTGAAACCAGGCACGAGAGATAGAACCGGAAGATTCGAAGCTGGAATTTTACAACATAAGGTATTTTTCTTAAATACATTTAAAATTGCATTAATAAAAAAAAAAGAAAAAATCATTATTATTATTTAATTTCGTCGAATCAGGGCGCAGGTACATGGGATGCCACATTGATAATAAACACGGTACGAGCGGAAGAAGTTGAAAAACGTTACACGCTCATAGCACAAAACGAATTGGGACGTGAAACATATAAAGTAGCCATTTCAACGAGTCCGGAACCACCGAGTAAGTTAATCGATACGTTTGTGTATCGATCAATCGAATTATACAAATCGATTCGACCTATCGAACATTAATAATCTTGGAGTCTAATAAATCATTTTTATCTCTTTTATAGCCAACATCACTGCCGGAGCTATAGTAGGCATAGTTGTAGCCGTACTCGTTATATTATTATTAATATTCATGCTTATATTTGCAAGAGCAACAGGACGATGGTGTTTTGCCGGTAAGTTTTACGTCATTTATTAATAAATATTACTGCTTAGTACGTAGGTTTTTCTTTTGGCTTTTACGTATATATAATTTATGCATTGATTTATTACCGTTACAAAACCGGAAATACTTCATTATTTATACGTGTTTTTTTATTTACATTTTAAATGGTGATGGAATTATTTATTTAAAATTATCTTTTTTTGTTCTTTTTTTTTTTTTTTTTTTTTTTTTTTTACGTTAAAACAAAAACCGACGACGACGACGTTTACGAAAATTTTTTTTATGTTATTTAATGTAATGAATGATGAATAGTTTAAAAAAATTTAAATTTATGTTTTAATAATATTTATATTTATATTTATATATTTATTTATATGTTTATAATGTTATAATATTTTAATTATGTGTATGTTTGTTAGTATATATTATTTAAAAAAAAAAAAAAAATTATTTTGGTTTCGGTATTTGTTTCAAGCTGACACAGATAAGAACTAGTCTCGAGGCAAGTTTTTTTACATTAAAAAAAAAGTAGAAATTTTCTCACTCTAAATAT